TTTTTTTTTTTCCCGTTTTCTTTTTTTGGTGATGTGATTATACATAAGACAGGCACAATGCTAGCAACAGGACAGGGCCCAGGAGCCACACCGTCGGGAGCGGGAAGCGTGACATGGGGACGGTGTGCAGGGTCCGGGATCGCTGCGGGAGGGGACGGGGAGGAACAACGAACTGGGCTCAAACTCAAAGACCTGTCAGGAGGGGGCACGGCGGGCGCCCCGAAATGAAACGGAACCGGCACCGGAGCTGGGACGGTGCGGGAGTGGAGCGAAGCTGTGGTGAGCCCGATCCCCCACCAGGAGCTGCCTCCATTCTTCTCTCTCTGCCCCCTTGTGCCCGGCCTCGCTCACAGCTCCCCCAGCCCCAGCTGAACAGCCTCACCCCAAAGGGCATCAGCCAAGCGCTCCGGGAATTCTGCTCCTGCTCAAAGCATCGGGGGCTCTTCCCCTCCCTGCCCTCGCCACACACCCGGTGTGCACAAGGTGCTTCCCCCCAACTCCCACCCTTGCCAAGCTGAGTGTGGAGCAGCCACAAGGTCCCTCCTTTCCCCCTGCCAGGAATGCAGCCAGAGCCAGGCTGCTCCAAACCAGGGGAGAAGGAAGGGAGAGGTGTCCCCAGGGGCAGAGCGAGGACCAGGGAGGGACAGAATCCCCCCCTTTGGATACCTGGAACTACAACCTGGGGCAGGAAAACGCAGGAGGGTGAAGTGCAGGTGGGCACTCTGCAGGTGAGGACAGCCAGACAGTGAAGGTTGCAATCCCAAGACATCACTTTTCACCACTAATTTCACTCCACTAAAACCTTTCAGGGTGGGGGGAGTGGGTTAAGAGAAAACGACACCCTTTTGGTGGGAAAAACTATCCCCGAAATCTGCTAGTCAGCTAAATCCTGTGCTCTAGTTTTATACACCTAAAGGAGGGAGGAAAGGGGAGGGGGTCTGGTGGGCTGCTCCCCTCCCGAGGCTTCACTCCGCTGGGAGGAATCTGGGGGCTCATTCATGTGACGAGGAAACATGGAGAAGGAAAAAAAAAAAAAAAAGAAACAAAACAAAAAAAAAAAAAAGGAAAACAACAGTTTCTAAACTCCTTAAATTCACTAAAAACTGTGAAAATTCCCGGCAGGATGTTTGAATATCAAACGCAGATTTTGGAAGCTTTAATGCCAAGAGTTAGTTCTGTGTGTTGGTTTGCTCATGTCTCCCGTGTGTCTCTATCTGTGCGCTGGCCGCAGGACTGCAGAGCAGGAGGAGGAGGAGGAGGAGGAGGAGGAAGAGGAGGAGGAGGGG